AAAAAGATAAAAGGGTAAGAGATACAGTCATTTATTAAAACTCCAGTTAATTTTCCTGTGTATGGCTAGAACAGGGACAAGTAAACTCAAAATCCCACTTGATTTTGCTATTTATAAGCTCCTTATCTCCCACTTTTCCACCACGACATTCTAGATTTGAGAGGAGTCTTTAGACTCTTATCTAAGTGGCAGTTTCTGCCAGGATGGGCAATAAGTCAGTTAATAATTTGTTCCAGCTTCTGCTGAAGTTTTTCTCACTTCCTCACCACATATTCACTGCCAATCTGGTTTCCTCAGAGCCCTCCTAAAATTAATCTCTAGGCAAGTTTCAACTCACTCACTCTCTTTTTCAAACCAAAAATTATTAGACCCAAAGCTAAAGAGCACCTTGTCTCAACACATAAACTAGAAGAACAACAAACTAAAAACAACAACAATAACAACAACTCTTCCTCACATTTTCCTTCATTACCTGATTTCCAAGTGACCTGCATATTTCTGATTGCTCTCCTTTTCCCTTCCCATTTTTCCCTGAGAAATGATACGTCAGTTTTTCAGAAAATTAGCAGCAGCAGCAACATGTCCATTTATTGTAAGTTACTTTAGTTTTGTTTGAGTTTTAAAATGAAGCCTATTTACAGGGCATATTTTCTTTCCTGTGTTGTTTTACACTAATTAAGAAAAAAAAAAAAAAAAAAAAACCCTGCATAGAAAAAAAGTTGAAAAGGTTTTCCCTTTAACAAATTTGCAAATATTTTCCAAGGCGCATTTTATAAAGCTGTGCCCTTGAATCTTCTTTAAAAGTATCAATATTTAAAACAAAATCTTATGCAATTAAGTTATTTCAAAATAATTTACATTTGCATTCAGGGAATGGTTGAGCTTCCAAATATAAAAAAATTGACCCTTACCTATGTCAATGATAAAACAAATATTTTTGAAAGAAAGTTGATTGATCTATACCTTGTCCAGCGCTTCAATATTTGCACCATGGGAAAGTAGTTTTTCTGCCAGTGAGGTGCTCCCACTGTACACAGCATAATGGAGAGCAGTGTTGCCGTAGATATCCTTAAGGTTTGGATCGGCACCATGGTTCAGCAAAATAATGGCACAAGCCTCTTCCTGGCAACGGATAGCCTGTCCGTATTAGACCAAGAAACAGATTGTAAATTCTAAGAATTCAAAATACACATTCCACAGGTTTCACCAACTAGTTATATTTAAATGAGATCAATTCATTTTAATTCTATATATGTAAATCAAATCCATGTCAGGCTAAAAAAGTTGGCTCTAATATACCTGTATCAAGGGCGTTCTGTTTTCTTTGTCACAGATATCAATCTGGCACTTTCTGTCGATCAGGAGAGTTACCACTTTTGCATGGCCACAGGCACAGGCCAAATGTAGAGCAGTTCTACAAGAGCAAGAGGACTTTTTAGGAAACGGTAGTGCAACATCTCAAAACATATCATCATTCATGTCATTGTAAAAATTGAATAGCATGTTTTTCCTCTGTCTTCAAAACAAATACTTAATTTTTTTGAAGAAAGTGCAATACTTACTAGCTCTTATTGCTCACTGCCTTAATGACAACAGCAGCCTATTTGAATAGAAAGAGCTCAGTCTGTAGATTCCGTTCAACTAGGGCTTGAGTCCTACTTTAAACGTTGTCACTTACCAATTATTGCTTAGCCTTTCTGTGCCTCAACTTCTTCATCAATAAAGATAACAATAGTAGCTATCTCATAGGACACCATCATGATGCTTAAATGAGAAGCTATGTAAAGTATTTAGAATAGTTCCTACAACAGCTCAATAATTGTAAGATTTTTGTTTTTTGAGACAAAGTCTCACTCTTTTGCCCAGGCTGGAGTGCAATGATGTAACTATACCTGGAACTCCTGGGCTCAAGTGATCCTCCATCCCCAGTCTCCTGAGTAGCTGGGACAACAGATGTGCACCAGCATGCCCAGCTATTTATTTAAAAATGTAGAGTAAGAACCTCACTTTGTTGCCCAGGCTGGTCTCAAACTCCTGGCATCAAACAATCTTCTCACCTCAGCCTCCCAAAGTTCTGGGATTACAGGTGTGAGTCACTGCACCCAGCCAGATATTATAATTGTTAGTATTACTACTACTTAACAAAAGCATTTTAATTAGGTAGAACGACACAATTATACCTACTTTGCAGGATGACTTAATGAGTAGGTCACATTTTAACAGCTCTGACATTGGAATGCCACTTATAATTCATGATTTATTATAACTCTAACTGGTAGCATTTTAGAAATTATCTTATTGATATATAAAATAGCGGAGCATCACACAATCCATGAGACCTTACATTAAGTAGAATATGGTAACTCAGCACTAGGGCAGTTCCAGGCATGCAACTGAAACTGAAATACATTTCAGTTCTTAAAGGGACTATGGGGAAAGAGCACTGAAATAACAATCATGCATTTTTTTAAACAAATTAATTCCTTGATTTTCAAACAACTTGAAGTCAAAGGAAACTCATGAGTCAAATGAATTTGTATGGCTCATTTTATTGAATTCTTACACTTACAGAATATATGTAAATAAGACTTTCCAATGATTAATATTAGGATTTAAAACTGATAAACTTTTGAAAGGGCAGTTCAAGGTTATCTTCTACCATTTTCTAACTTCAGAAATGCTTTTGTTTGAAAGGTGGGAGATAAAGTTTCAAGGAGATGAAGTCCCAATATTCCTATTGTAAATCTCTCAGCTTGTGCAGGCAGGGCAGGTAAACATGAAGTTTTTAAGGATGGAAGGGTCCTGAGAGATAGTAGAGTATGTCTGCTACATAACAGGTACTCAGGTTATGCTTGATGCATAAATGGAATGAAATAATGGATAAATATAGCTGGGGAGTTCACTATTTTTAAATAAACTCCTATAAAGCAATATTTTTGCAATAGTAATTATTTGTATGTGTTATTTTTTATTTTTAAAGAATACAATTTAAATGAAATTATTAATCTATCATTGTTTGAATAAATGGAATGAGTATATAAGAAAAACATGTGCATAATAAAATGTATAGATAATAAAATCTGAAAACACAGATAAAACCATTCCCTTCTTACTTCTGAAGACTCTAAACATTCAAAGAAGATAACAATACACACAATAAAGATAAAAAGTGGAAAGCGAGAAATTATTTTTATCAGTGCAAGATTCATATTTCTCTCTTCCCAAGGATGATTCCATTAATAGTAAACTTTTATAGAAGTTTTGTACATGCTCACTGCAGCAATCACAGATAAGAAAAAGGAAAAATAAACTTTACTTAAAATGCAAATACTCGCAGGGTGCGGTGGCTCACGCCTGTAATTCCAGCACTTTGGGAGGCCGAGAAGGGTGGATCACGAGGTCAGGAGATCAAGACCATCCTGGCTAACACGGTGAAACCCAGTCTCTACTAAAAATATAAAAAATTAGTCGGGTGTGGTGGCAGGTGCCAGTACTCCCAGCTACTTGGGAGGCTGAGGCAGGAGAATGGCGTGAACCTGGGAGGGGGAGCTTGCAGTGAGCCGAGATTGGGCCATTGCACTCCAGCCTGGGTGACACAGCAAGACTCCATCTCAAAAAAAAAGAAAAAAAAAAAAAAAAAAAGCAAATGCTCAGAAATTACAAATTTTATCATATTTGGTACATTTTTTTCTTTTGCTAAAACAAGACCATAGTATGTTTGCGTATGTATAATTTAACTATTTTTTTTTCCTCACTGGCTATAGCAAAATACAACATCTTGACACATCAACTTACTTCTATACCTATTCCCACCTTCAATGGTCACATATTATTCCATCCTATGGATGCAACTGAAATTTATTTATAGGATCCATTCTCTGGGTTCTTTTTAAAATAAGTTCCGTGAAAACTAAAGTGCATGTATCTTTATTTCCTAAGGGCATTTTAGTATAATGGAATTGATGAGTAAAGGGCACATTTTTTAAACGTAGTACTTACCACCAAATTATCTATTTGAAAAGTAATCAGCAACTTAAACTTTTAAGTAGCAGTATAAAACATCCTCACAAATATTGTGGATAGAAAACTGTTTCATTCCTCTTTTAAATTCTTATACCAGAAATGAGAAGGATTTTTTCCTATATACATAAGTAACTTGTAGATCTGGGGAAAGGTACTTTGCCCACTTTTAGAGTATTTGATGATTTGATTTGAAAGAATTCCCTGTAAAACGAAGATGTACTTTTCATCGCATGTGTATTATAACTTTTCATCTAATGTATATATATAACTGATATATATAACATATTATATCTGGAATATATATGGTATACGTATCAGTAACATCTAAATCTTATCATATATAATGAACAATATAGGCTGGGTGCAGGGGCTCACACCTGTAATCCCAGCATTTTGGGAGGCCGAGGCAGGCAGATCACTTGAGGTAAGGAGTTCGAGACCAGCCTGGCCAACATGGTGAAAGCCCCTCTCTACTAAAAATACAAAAATTAGCCAGGCGTGCTGGCACCTGCCTGTAATCCTAGCTACTTGGGAGGGTGAGGGAGGAGAATTGCTTGAATCCAGGAGGTGGAGGTTGCAGTGAGCCAGGATTGTGCCATTGGACACCAGCCTGGGCAAAGAAGCGAGACTCTGACTCAAAAAAAAAATAAAAGAATATAATGAATTCCTTATAAAATGAAAACATACTTTTCATCTGAAAAATATATATATATAATATATTAAATATTTTTCAAGTAAGCTCTCTTTTATTTTGTTAACTTTTTTTCTGAAACACAGTTTTAATTTTTAGTTTGCTAAATCAACCTTCACAATGTCTGCTTACCAGGTCATTCTTAGGAAGGCGTTTGTCAACATAAAATGTACCCGTAAAATTAGCATTTGTATTTTCTTCTGGTACTTTACTCATTTGCACATGGAAAAGTTTCAGTCTATATTCCATCAGGAACTCATGTTTGTGACATAAAATTTCATTAGTTTTCTTCCAACAACAGGCACTTTTTCATTAATAATTCATCCTTTCCTGCTCATCAATCCTTACGTATATCTTACATAATTTCAGTGATTCTGGGTTTCCTATTCTGTTCCATGCATCTGTCTTTTCAGCTGTTCGCAAACAATTGATTGTAGAAATTAATAGCACATTTTGCTATCTAGAGGAGCAAGTGTTTTTTTACTGCATTATGAAATTTTAAAAAATGTCATCACAATAGTGAAAGACAGCAGGTGTCATATAAAAATGTTAAAACCTTGGTATTTTCATTCGGTCTATGTAAAACTGACAAACAGAGAAAGAGCTCACATTTTGAGAAAAATGTCCCTTTCCATTCAAGAACACAGAACCCACCTCCCACTTCCAAGTTGCTCTCTAAGAACCTTCAGTAAGGAACCTGGCTACACAGGTGGATAGGGATGTAAAACGGACAGTTTTATCTGAGAACTTTTCGCCTACTGAAAATCACTCACGGTATTTTTGATAGGGGAATTAGTTCTCTCATTAGGCACCTCCTATAATGTATACAAACCATGTTTTAAAGGTGTTCCTTAAAAATAACAACACCGTATATGCTTAACTTCGTGAGTTAAATCACTCAAATTCTCCACCAATTGCTCCAGCCAGGGAATTATGTCGGATGGAAAACAGCTGAGGGTCCGCTTGACTTCGCCGCTAGGAGGATGCCCGGCGCCCTCCAAGGCCCAGTCCCAGGGGCTGCGGGGAAGCCGGGCCTGGGGACCCCCTCCCACCCTGGACTGAGGCCCCCCCCCCCTCACCTGTGCTGCTTGTCCAGGGCATCCAGGTCTCCGCTCCTGCGTGCCAGGCAGCGCTCCACTTTTGCGGTGTGGCCCTTGACAGCCGCCTTGTGGATCTTCTGCAGTTCGGAGTCCCGGATTCGGTACCCGGAACCCCTGTAGACCTGGTCTATGTAGCCCAGGTCCGTCTGGCCCCTGCCGCTCCCGAAGCGGAAGAGCTTCATGGTATGACGTCTCAGACCCCCAACCACCGACCGCTTCTTGAGTGGGGGCAGCTCCCTGTCACCTTTTCACCACCCCCCACCCGCCCCGACGACCCAGCCCCAAATCCAACCCCAAGTCCCGATCCAACCCCAAATCCACGATCCAACCCCCAGTCTGCGATCCCAAATCTCTGATGTATTCCAAAATCCGAGATCCAGCGGGGTCCACCACAGCCTTCAGCAGCGACACTCGCAGCCTCCGACCTCTCAGACCCAGTGAGCCTCGCAAAGCCGTTGGGCGCGCGCCCGCACCGCGGTGGTCACCGGGCTACCGGAAGCCGCTCCCTGGCTGCGCGCGCCGGCAGTTGGGGCTGCAGCTCCAGGCGGGTGCCACTGGGCTCGCGGGTTCTCCTGGGCATTCCCGGGCGGCCCCAGGATCCTAGGCCCTACAACTCGGCATTTGTACATTGGGTCCCATTCCTGATGAGGGTGCCTCTCAGTCTGAGGGCACTCAGAGTACCGAATTGGCTTCGCAGGGCAGCCTGGCTTCAGGCTGAGGCTCGATCTTGGAGTCTGTGTGTGTTAGTCTGTCAGTAGTGGAAAGTGGGCTACCGGAAGCCGCTCCCTGGCTGCGCGCGCCGGCAGGTGGGGCTGCAGCTCCAGGCGGGTGCCACTGGGCTCGCAGGTTCTCCTGGGCATTCCCGGGCGGCCCCAGGATCCTAGGCCGGCAGCCAGCCAGGCCTGAGGAGGAGGATTTGTATGGCCTTGCGGCCCGCCCCGCTCCTCCTCCGGAGGGAGATCGGGTGCTGGCAAGGGCACTCAGAGGCCACCGGAGTGGCTTCGCAGATAGCCTGGCTTCAGGCTGAGGCTCTGATCTTGGAGTCTGTGTGGCTAGTGTCCAGTAGTGGAAAAGTCAGGGGCTGCTCCTTCCTCCACCCGCCCTCACCGCTGCCAGTGCCCGACTGCGCGGTTTGCAGCTGCAGATCCGGCACTGGCGCGGGATGGCGGAGCTTCCCTTGGATGGCCTCACTGTCCCCGAGTGCACAGCCTACCTGGCCTCAGGGTCCGCTGCTCTTGGACATCTCTCCGGATCCTGGGCCCTGGCAGTAAGCAATCTGTATCCACAGGCATGAGACTGAGCGGCTGCTGGCTGGGCCAATCGCCTGACTTAGCTGCCTGGGCGTCTGGCCTCAGGATCCCCGCTGTGACCCTTTTTTGCATATGTAGTTTTTCTAATTTGTAGTTTTCTAATTATTTTTGTTGTATATTGTTATTGTGAAAGATATGTTTATCTAGCCATCAGTTTACTGGATGAAAACCTTGAACTTCTGGAGGCTTGGTATTATATTTTGCTATGGTGCTTCTCTTTGGAATTTTTTCTCAGTTATAGAAAGAATCTTTAGTCCTGATAAACCTGATAAATAGCATTTACCCTTTCTTTCTTTCTTTCTTTTTCTTTCTTTCTTTTTTTTTTTTTGAGATGTACTCTTGCTCTGTAGCCCAGGCTGGAATGCAATGGTATGATCTCAGCTCACTGTAACCTCTGCCTCCAGGGTTCAAGCAATTCTCCTGCCTAAGCCTCCTAAGTAGCTAGGATTACAAGCGTTTGCCACCATGCTCAGCTAATTTTTAGATTTTTAGTACAGACAAGATTTCACCATGTCAGCCAGACTGGTCTTGAACTCCTGACCTCAAGTGATCCACCTGCCTTGGCCTCTCAAAGTGCGGGAATTACAGGCATAAGCCACTGCACCTGGTCGGCATTCACAATTTTTGTTTGCTTGTTTTGAGATGGACTTTCCCTCTGTCACCCAGGCTGGAGTGCAGTGGCACAATCTCAGCTCACTGTAGCCTCCGCCTCCTGGGTTCGAGCGATTCTCCTGTCTCAACCACCTGAGTAGCTAGGATTACAGGCATATACCACAAAGCCTGGCTAATTTTCATATTTTTAGTAAAGATGGGATTTCACCACATTGGCCAGGCTGGTCTCTGACCTCAAGTGATCCACCCGTCTCAGACTCCCAAAGCGCTGGGATTATAGGCGTGAGTCACTACGCCCGGCCAGCAATCACTCTTAAGGCATTCCCTTCTGAGGTTTCAATAGAAAGCCTAAGGTGTTTACCAAGCCTCTATACTTCAATAGATTCAAACTTCAAACTGTTTCCCCTGTAATGAGTTGCAGTGTTCTGCTTTTTTGCACTTCTAGCTTTTGCTTTGTTTTCTGCTATTTGAAGCCTCTCCCATACATGTATAGTCACAGATTTGAAGGAAGCTCATATACATATTTAAAGACTCTCCCATCCATAGGTTTTCCTTTTCAGGACTTTTTCCTCTTCATTTATAGCTGTTCTGGCATCCCTAAATTCTATTCTCTGAAACAGTAAGCCGATAATACCGACACTTTCTTCTTGAATTCTCTCTGTCCCATGCCATGGGGACTGGTGAATACCTTTATGAACAAAGCTGCATCAATGAAGACTTCATCTAGTTTTGTTCCCTTTTCCAAGCATCTAATCAAGCTCATGCCTCTTTTTGGATACTCTACAGTACCTTCAAATAGTTGGGACTTTTTCTTTTATATTTTATCCAGAGTTTATCATAGATACTTAGGAAAGGGAATTTTCCTAGACAGGCTACTCTGCCATTGCTGAAACTGAAATTCTTCCAATATTCTTTTAATAAGATATTTTCTACTTAAATCATCTGGGGTTGGTTTAGTTAGAAATTTTGCAACTAAAATCTGTGGCCAGATCTAGCACTGATGCAGGACAGATGTTTAAGGTTGATATAAAAGTTATATATTTATAAACAAGTGTTTATTTCTTTAAAATGTAATTCCAATAAGTATTATCTTTTGGAATAACTGTTTAGCTATAGCTTTTAAATGGCCCCCCCCATTTTTTTTTTTTTTTTTTTGAGATGGAGTCTCTCTCTGTTGCCAGGCTGGAGTGTAGAGGTGTGATCTCGACGCACTGCAACCTCTGCTTCCCAGGTTCAAGCGATTCTCCTGCCTCAGGGTCCTGAATAGCTGGGATTACAGGCTTGCACCACCATGCCTGGTTAATTTTTGTATTTTTAGTAGAGACAGGGTTTTACTATGTTGGCCAGGCTGGTCTTGAACTCCCAACCTCAGGTGATCCGCTCACCTCAGCGTCCCAAAGTGCTGGAATTACAGGCGTGAGTCACCGTACCCTGCTACTTACTTTAAATATTTACAAAAATGCATGAAAAATTTCATGGCAGCTTATCCTCTTTTTGTGCTAGAATTGTCAAACAGAGTTTTAAATAATGACAGAAACACTACTTTTCTGATGAGGTTTACATCAGTTAGGACTCTTGGTGACAAGTTACAGAAAAATCAGCTTAGACTCACACTGACCAAAAAAAAAAAAAAAAAAAAACAACTCTTGTCTCTCAGGATTCATGGTATAATTAAGAATTAAATTGTCATCAGCAGAGATGAATTAGAGCCTCAAAACAATTGAAGCCAGGTCAGTCAAGAGTCCAAGGACTCTGCCACGTTGGTCCACCTACTTCTTTCCAGCCATTGCCATTATTCACCCACCACCTGAGGAAACTTGGCTACCAGTAGCTGCTGATTGAGGAGAGATAGATTCTCTTCTTTGACACAATACAAAAATTCTGTAGATAGATTCTGATTACTTCATTTGGGTTATGCCTGCATCAGTCACTACAGCACAAAAAGGACAAGGTTGAGAAAAACCATCTCAAACAGATGTAAAAAGGAGATCGGGGGTCTTCCCAAGAGAGGGAGAAGGCAGGATAAATCCCTTAAATTTCCCCTTCAGGACTCATTTCTAAAGGTTTACTAAATGCAGGAAGAAATAATTCGAGGTTTAGAAAATACACTTTGAAAAGTAGATAAGTTTTCTATCAAAATAATACACAGTACTTTTTGAGTGCTTAATATGTGCCCACACTGTATCATCTATGCCTAAATATTTATTTGTTATGTGAAACCTGCCTGGGGAAATCTGAAGTAGCTTAAGGAGCACAGGTTATGACTACAACTGACCCAGGTCCCAGTCAGCGAAGCTGGGTAGGCACAATTATTAACGATTTGACTTTGAGCAAGCTAGGTAATCTCTATCCTTACACGCTTTTTACTTCTGTGTACCAAAAGTGACTTTGTAGGGTTTCTGTGGAGACTGAAGAAAATGAGATAAATAAAACAGTAGAGGTACATAATAATGTTAGCTATTTTAAGTTATTGACAGTCAGAGCCTGTTTACTTATACAATATCAACACATTTACTTTCTGAACTTTAGAAAATAAAATCCATTATTTGACTCATTTGTACTCTGGAGGAGATAACAGAATGAGAACAAAACAAAATGTCAATCTCCTTCTGGCTTTTTTTGCAATTACAAATCCACGATTGTCAAATGGATGAGAAACTCAGAGCCAAGGATCAGGAAAACACTCTTAAAGAACGAGGTGATGGCTGAGTCTGTCCCAGGCCAGTGCTTTGATAAGGCTGTGATCATCACAGCGGGATAGCATTGGCTCGGGGGAAAAGGAGCAGGCAGCACACACAGTGTGGACACAAAGCTGGTGTGTCCGTCCTTCTTGACATCTCCCGTGGATCCTGGGCTCTGGTACCAAGCAATCTGTATCGACAGGCATGAGACTGATGATCGAAGGGCTGGGCCGATCGCCTGATCTAGCTGCCTGGGCGTCTGGCCTCTGGTGGATCCGCGCTGCTGGGGGCACGGGCCTGGTCTGGGGTGTCCAGTCACTTGCAGGGCTCTTACAGACAGCGGGGCTGGAGGCCTGCACCTGATGTCCTCAGGGTCATGTGCATCACCCGCCCACTGGAGGGTCTGCTCTGACTTGGTCTCTCCCAACAACACAGGGCTGCCCGGTGGGCTCTTCGTGGGTAACTGGCATGAAGGCTAAGAATTTCACCTGTGCTGCTGTTGTGCAGATTGCCTGACTGATCACTCCAGGCAGTGGCCCCAGGTCTCGCGTGGCAGGTGTGCAGATAGGTGAGGAGCACTGAGGGTCAAGGGTTGCCTGGCCTTCTGCCCGTGCAACTTGCAGTTCTGCAGTTTTCTGCAACAGCTGAGGCCTGGGCGGGGGAAAGAACTCCGCTGGATGGCGCTGTGCTGGTACAGAGCACAGCCCCATTCGTGGCCTGAGGGTCCGCTCCTTTTCCACTTGGTCTGAAGCCTGACCCAGATACTGAGCACTCTGCCTGGATGCGGATAGGCTGACTGATGATTGCAGAGCCGGTCATCTGGCTTATTAATACATCTGGTCTTATGGATCTCATGCTGAGGGTGGCTAGGCAGCTGCTGCCCAGGTGCAGGGCAGCTGCAGCTTGGGCATCAGAGGATTGGCGGGGCTGGTACCTGATGACCTCAGGTCTCCATGTACTGCCTGCCCAGCCGAGGCCGTTCCTTTTGGCCTGTG